CACTGGTGAAGGTGAGACAACAGACTCTATGCATGACTGTTAAAATGACAATATTAACCTTGTCCAGAGACTAACCTCATCCTGAACTAGGCTGTCAGGACCTTTTCGGACCGAGGTTGGAAACTCTAAACTGCAGCCCCCCACGCAGACACTCCCCAGATTTCCAGATTACCTCAGACATCAAAGAATCCCTTTCTTCATTGCTGATTCTCTACCCCACCAAAGAGCCATTAATATGGACTCTAACATGCCCCCTCCATTTCACACCGATGTGCCGAACTGATAAGACACTAGAGAAAGAACAGATTCAAATTCCTTTGTGTGAACAAAGAAATGTTGTCTCCTTATAAACTTGCCTTATTACCTTGTTTGAATTAAATAATCTTTGTTAAGTTACTTAGTGGCATGCCACTTCAATTTGAGTAGTTTATTATCATGTTGTTGTTAGTCGAAAAGAAGGAACCTCAAAGAAAGTTTAATTTAAAATTCTCCTTAGGCTTATTTACATGTGCCTGTGTTCTTTGTTTAACTAATGCTTTGTTTCAGTCCTGTTTATATACTTTCTTAGAAATGATATGGTACAGAAAAAAACCCTTTTAGAGTGTCTGAATGAAGTGAAAACATGGATGGCTATGAATTTTTTGTATTTAAATGAGAGTAAAACTGAGCTCATGTTACTTACTCCAAATGACTCAGCTGCTGCGGGTCCTGTTGATCTGGGTTGGCTAACCCGAGATATTAGCTCTGTGGTCACAAATCTGGGAGTCAAGTTGGACGGTCGTTTAAAACTTGATGCCCAGATTGGTGCAGTGGTGAAAACCAGTTTTTTCCAGCTGAGGCAACTGGCCAAAGTAAAACCGTTTTTATCTCGACATAATTTTGAGATTTTAATCCATGCTTTTATCACCACTCGTTTAGATTATTGTAATGCACTCTATAGTGGTCTTAGCAAATCACTTATGGCACAATTACAACTAGTTCAAAATGCAGCTGCTCGTCTTTTAACTGGAACTCGAAAATTTGCCCATATTCCACCCATTCTCCGATCCTTACACTGGCTTCCAGTGCACTTTCTTATCGATTTTAAAATTCTTTTATTTGTTTTTAATTGCGTGCATGGCTTGGCCCCCCAGTATTTGTCTGATCTGCTTGTGCCCTACAGTCCATCTCGTTCGCTCCGATCGACTGATCTGGCACTGCTGGTAGTCCCTAAATCTAAACGTAAATCTAGAGGTGAACGTGCGTTTGCTGTGGCAGCTCCGAGACTCTGGAATGAGCTGCCTCTACATATTAGACTTAATCTCGTCTTAAAACTCATTTATTTTCTTTGGCTTTTAATACAGTTTGAGGGTTGTCCTTTCAGTTTTGTATTATTGTATTTAATTTGTTGTGCCTTTATTGTATGTTGGTAGGTTTACCAACATACAATAAAGGCACAACAAAGAAAATTAATAAAACAATAAATCACAAAATAAATACAATACCAACCGGTAGGTGACAAAATAAATACAATACCAACCGGTAGGTGCTATATAAATAAAGGTGGATGGGATTGGATTGGAAATATTATCTGTGTTAAATAATCAATTTTTCCAGCTCCTGAGGCAAGGATTGGGTTAACTACAAGTTAAATAGTCAGTGATTTTCAGGTCCTTTCATGAAACCAGGGTCCCCCCAGAGGACAAAAGAAGTATTACATGCCTTTGTTAAATGCCTCTCCTGTTTAATTTATCTTACTCTGTGTTTTATTGTTTGTAATCTGATGCCATGTTCTTATACCTTTCTTATATATTTTCTAAGTAAGAATGTTTAACAATCAGTATTCTCCTGGAAGTTAAGTTTACTTAAGATGTTCTTCCCAACTACTTTGAACACTATGAAAAATTCACCAGAATGCAGAAAATTAAGCGGTTAATGCTCAAAAAATCCTGGAGGCGGACCCACCCACATTTTTTTTGCTTCTGACGCCCATGTCACTTTTGTTCAACAGAGAAAAAATGGAAGAACAGAGTATGTCTGTCGCTTTTTATTTGTTAACATCTTGGCTTCTTCACTGGTTGTTCACATAAGTATAGTTCTAATAGAGTAACAAAAGATGTGAGTGCAAAGATTTTGCAAGTGCAAGTTACGCATACCCAGGGGGCTAAGCCCCCCTGTCTTTCAATTCCAGTGATGTGACAGACCAACCCATCAAAACCATGCCATCCAGGTACAGATACAAGTAGGCTACTAACTACTCTGGGATCTCTGGTAACTGGCTGTTAGCAGCGGGAGTTAGATCAACAATATATAAAGTTTATCTTTCTGCCTCATGCCCCTTTAGGGAATAATATAATTCTGCATTTTCTTTTGTTTGTGACCCCGCTGCTGTGACCATCAAACAATATGTGCTTTCTTCTCACAAGCACCACCATTTCCTTGTCAGAAAAATGTATTTGTTTCATCTTCCGCTTAGTTGCTGTTGCCTTGATTAACAGTAAGTAGGCTCATTTATATGCATCAATATTCATGATGCGCACATTTCCAGGTGGACTGCTATTTATAAAGGGCAAGTTGCCTCCAGGTGTGCATAGGCACAGTTTTAAAAACCTGGGGGTTTGTTTGCCACATGCCATGCACACGCACGCACACTTTTAGTCTGGATCCTATGCACTGTAACCTCTTGACCTCTGCCACTGTCTTACATTGACAGTAACCCACAGGATGCTGGTATGTCTAAAAGATGACCTCTAACAAGACACACAAATCTCTTTTTGAACAATCCTTTTTCCACTTTTTGCTTCAAAAGCATTTCTGGGTTCCAGGCCTCTGCAATAAAACCAAGTAACAGAGACTCCAAAATTGTTTCCGTTCAAAATCTGCACAAACTCTGCCTCTTAAGGGTCAGAATTTCATGTATAGGAATGTTTTGTGCATGTTCATTTCACAAAGTTTTGTCTATTAAAGCTGTATAAATCAGGAATGTCACTAGGATTGGGGTTTAGTCCCTAGGGAATGCGTAACTTGTACTTTTGTTACTGTATTAAAACTACACTTATGTCAAAAAACAGATGTTAACAGGTAAAAAGCGACAGACATACTCCCTTCTTCCATTTCTCCTCTGTTGAAGACACATCAAAGCTGCATTTAGGCCAGAGTGAGTTCTTCTGTAGGCTGTGACTTCAATGCTACCCAGCTGCTCATGTAAATGTGTCATAAAGTAATACCATATCTAATTCCTCTCTCTCTTAGATAAGTTCCAGGTCCAACGAATGCTATTTAATTACACTAATTACTGTTACTGCACTTTGCAGATTGGGTCAATCAGAGTGTGATTTTGCTCTGTGGTTTGGTTTGCATACAAGCATATAATAAATACTTTATCATGTAAGCTGTTATACTTGATAATGATCCTATTTAAGTGGCTACTGTCTGAATTTAATAACCTGATGGTGGAAGGAAAAAAAGATTTGGAGTAATGATTACTATATGTATGGATGTTTATGTGTATGATTGCTTTCATTGTATTATATTTTCCTGTGTACATATATGTGGGTATATGCTCGTGTATAGACTAGCCTTGTTTATTTATTACAGCCAATGAATGTAGAAAGTTAAGTGGCTCAGAATATAGCAAATATTGACCTGTACACCACTACTGACCTGAAACAGCTGCCCTGCCAATCTCCTGCTCCTTTCTCTCCTAAATATCTATTTGATCAATGAATGGAAGGATATACTGGTATAGGGACACTACCACATTTAGTTTTCACTGAAAATAACATTCTATGGGGACTGATATTGTTGTGAAATGCAATAGAGATAGATAATATTAATGGCGTCGCTCTACCAACACTAGTGTTTTCCATAGCCAACTAAAAGATCCCCTTTCCTTTACTTCAAATAAACGGAACTTAAGTTCAGGAAGTTACAGTCACTAACAACAACTTATAGTTTCACTCTGTATCACTCACTACGCTGAATCAATCTTCCTTCACCATGTCTGTGTCGCTGTGTGTGTGTGCTTCGCAGCTCTGCAGAGCAGCGATGAAACGCAGCCTCCCTCAGGGTTTGAAGGATCAGTTCGGCTGAACTCTCTGTCATGTGACATGGTTAAGCTCTGTTTGAGACTGAGAACACCGAATATCTTTAAAACTATTTGATTCTGATGGCAAAATATTATTTACCTAAATGTAAATCTCCTGAATAAAAAACAAATAAAAATAGACTACTACTACTTAGACTAACTTAGTTTATTTTACTTCCTAATTGAAATGATTTGATCAGTATTCAGTAGTCATGTTTTCAGATGTAGGTATTGTAATGAACTAATATCACAATCTACAGATGTGATGATGATGATGACACAGTGGGAAAAAAGTTCAGAATAAAAAAAAAAAATTACGGCTTTATTTCCTTTCATTTGAACGATGTAATAAAATGCACACCGGCTTAATAGTCGCTGTGCAAGACGGCATTTAGTCACAAAGGTAAAGATGCATAGAGCAGTGTTCACAAATGCTAATTGCAACGACATTTTTAAAGGCTAAACATTGCTCTTTTCTTCCTCTCTGGAAGTTTTGTCAGCGTCTTTACCGGCGCACTGAGCCGATTATGATACAACATCACCACATCAGCGTTATGACGCAACTGCAGTTACAGTACATTTACAGAATCCACAAAGTTCAACACTTGCTAGAAAATAGTATTTACCATGAAGACACCGTCAGAGTTTTGTTGAGAGCTGGAGCATTCTAAGATGTGCTAGATGTTGAGGTGGCAGCTTAATAGTGTTCATGTTCATAAGGTTCATGTTAACAGTATGAACGCTATCACAATGTCTCGCTACCATCCATCAACAGAGTTTGGACCGCTAGTTACCAGCTAGAGTCAGGCTAAATTAGTCTAACATGAGAGTGTCTGTTTTTGTGTGCATGGGGGCAATCAACAACCAATAAACTCCATTTACTGAATCCATGCTTTATGTTCTAAAAAACAATAATTTAAAACAGTGTCTGTACCTCTTTAGCTTTCTGGTGTCTGTCCTTGCTTTCGTCTCCAGGGTGGCAGGTGTAGGACACTGTCCTCCAGTCCCGCGGAGAATTGGTGACGCTAGTGACCTTAGACTCAGTGGCACCAGTGTCCTCGTTGAGCGAGCAGGATGACTTCCTAGTGAACATGCTCTTCTTCAGAGCTTTGACTCTGAGGCTATCGCTGTTACTCCCATCTGAGCAGCACCACTCCCCTGAGGAGCCATTGTCCATTTTGATATTGTGGCCAGTGGTGTGGCACTGGAAAACACAAGGTGAAAGGGTGGTGTCGGGCGGATGAGGGTGGGGTTTTGGCTTGTCTGGGGTGGCAATGGACCCGCATGCAGATGCCATCCCATTGGCCTCAGGCTCCTGGATCTTCTCATCCAGCTTGTTGAGTTTGGAGAGCACCTGGGAGATCTCACTGCGAACCCCCGACAGGGACTCCAGCTTCTTCTCAATCTCACCAATCCTCATCACCAGCTTGCACACACTCGATTTGAGCTCATCGTCTGTGTTTTCCAGCGAATGGAAGAGGCGGTCCAGCTTGGACTTGGCTAGTTTGACTGTGTTGCCTTCAGGAGAGCTGTCACCTTCAGACTTCAGCGTTACCTGAGAAAGAGACCCATTACTGTTGTAGCAGGACGGTTGGACAATGCCCAGAGAGTCACAAACACTCATATCATCCAGAAAACGAAAAATGTCACTTATGTCATCACTAATGAGCTCAGAGTCCTCATCAGAATGCTTAAAGGCATGCCTTTCTCTGTCACTGTACTTAGCTGGATATTCCTCCACTTTCTTCTGCTCAGCCTGTTCTGTTTGAGTTCCAACACTAGAGGAGCTGTCTCCTCCCTGAAAGGAGGGACTGTTCATCTTTTTCTCTCTAAACCTTTTGGCTACTTCTCTTTTGTCCAAACCCGCCAGCCCACTTGCCATTACTGCTACATCTTTGGTTTTTATTCCGTTAGTTTTCTTTGCAAAGCCAAATGTAGAAGTTACTGCCTTTTCCTTCGGGTTCTGAAAATACTGTTCATTGTCAGTGCTGATGATGCTGATATTTCGATGGTGGTTATCTTTGAGTGGTTTGCTCTTCAGAAATGACCTATCCAAGTCTGGAGGCCCCTCTTCTGTGTTGAGACTGAGACTCTTCACTGGCCACGGCGGCTGCTTCCCGGCTTTGGCACTGTGCTTCCTGCTGCTGACGCACTCAGAGACCGTGGTCGGGCCGAAGTATGTGGATGCTTGTAAGTCGTCCAGGCTCTCGTGCTTCACCCTCCGTTTGTCCTGAAGAGGGAAGTTGAGTGTTGGCTCAAAGTAGGGGTTACTGTAAGGTATTTCAAAGCTGTGGTTGAAGAAGGTGGCAGGTTTGTGCAGCTCCTTCCGGTGGTAGCCGCCAGCAGCCTTACTGCCCTGTTTGCTCTCAGTGGTGATGACCTACAACAGTTACCCAGACAGACAAGGACTGAGTCAGCACACAAAGACAGCAAATCCAGCACAGACAGTGTACTAATAGTAACTATGGAATCATAAGAATCGATTCACAAATATCAATTATCAATTATCTAGAGGTAAATTAAGAGAGAGGGTAACGTAACGTTGACTAGCGAAAGGGTGGAACTTGGAAATCCGGAAGTGCAGGTGCAGTGCACACAACAGAAACGTGTTCTCCCTGTTCAGCACAGACAGGCACCTGTTGAATGAAAGACTGCCAGTACTAAACTTTCGCATGATCAATAAAATCAATGTACAACTAACGTTAATGATTTTCAACTGCACACTGTAGCACGGTACCGCCTAGCAGCAGTAGGTGACGGTGAAAGCAGTGGAGCAGAGGAAAATGTGAGTGCAATGTTTCAGTCTGGCTGTAAATATACGGTGAAGGACACAGTGTGTCTGTCTGTTGTTTTCCAACTACTGGAAAAGTTAAGGCAGTTAGCGCTAGCTAACATCTCTTCTTCAGACTGCGGTCTGGAAGCTGAGCCGGACGTTGTTTGGCTACTAGTTCAAGATTGTTTGTTGTCATTCATCCACATATCAAGTACACAAATGATCGAAATGCTGTTTCTCAAGGCCCATGGTGCTCAGTACAAGATAATCAACTTAATAATCAAGATAATCAACTTAATAATCAACTTACAGGACAAACATGTCAATACCCTAGAAAACAACAGATCTATTAACGTGGTTTGGCTGGAGCATTGTAAAGTGCGTAATTCAACCCCCATCTTACTCTATACTAATAACAGCAGCATCAGAAATAAAAATAGCAGCAGCAGAGGTCAGTAATAACGATGTAATAATGTAATTATGCTATGCAATGTTAGCTAAATTTATGAACATTAAATATCTGCATTTCATTACTATCTGCTTGTTTGGATTGTTACAAATACTTTTACTATACTTGCTTTAAAGGTACCATGTAGTCACAAAGTGAGAAAAATACATCTTTATCCTGTTCATTTTACACATTGTAGCACTCATAATCGGAATGAGGTGCCTACCCTTGAGGTGATGCACCGTGATGCATCGAGATATCGAATCGAAGCGTTGACCTGATAATCGTAATTGAATCGTGAGACAATGAAGATGCACATCCCTAATAAAAACTGTGGAACCCTCCAGCGGTTATAAGTTAAAAACAAAATGCAAATGGTTTACTAACTGAGCAAAAGATACAATGAAAAATATTTGAAAGAGCTGTCAGTCAAGTTGTGTTAATGAGAAGATAAGATGCTGAAGACAGTACCTCTGACCTTCAAAATAAAAAGGGAGGGAGGTTATGGTGCAATTTGATATTTATACTCAGTAAACAAAAGCAGGAATTATTAATAGTAGACATATAGAATAGCTTAACACATGCCCTCTCCTGCGTGCTGTACATGACAGACTTTCAGCCAATTAGAGCTGTTTATAGGTGGGTCCTACTTAGTTAGAACCCACATTGTTAGGGGGTGTATTTTGAGAGATAACTTCCTTTTAACATTTAAAGAGGAATTGTACAATGACCAATACTCTGCCACTCTCTTCTTTTTGGTTTATTAAGTAAAGTATGAAAAATTCAACTCCACATTGGCCGGCTACAACATTTAAATGCTGCTTACATGTTAATTCATCAGTAGTGATACTTTTACTGTAATATATTTAATAGGATAACACTATAAAGACTTTATCACGATAAATGTCAAATCATTATTTCTTTCAAGATAAAAGGGTGATTTTTGCTTTTTGTAGAAACCAGATGGTTAACTGGGGTTTTAAACTGTTTATGAGCCTTTTCCTCAAGAAAATAAATATCTTAATAAAAAATTAAGTGCTAATTTGTTCATGATTCAAATGAATTAAATCTAACTTTTTAGTGGCAATATATTGAACTTTTGTTATATTGTTATTGAGGAAAATTATATTGCAATAATTATCATCATTGATTTATTGCCCAGCCCTAAATCAAACCTCTAATTAAAAATCCCACTCTTGATCCAGTGGTTTTAGCCAATTATATACCTATATCTAACCTTATTTTTTTATTTTATATTTTTTATTTAACGTTTATTTAACCAGGTGAGTCTCATTTAGATTAAAATCTCTTTTGCAGGAGAGACCTGGCCAAGACGCAGCATAAAAGAACATAAAGAACAGTTTCCAACATATAAAAGACATCAAGTACACATACATATAAGACAAGCCCCTGTGGTGAATAAGGCAGAATACAACTTTATAAACAGCAACATTGACCAATGTTCACCAGCTCTATATCCTTCAAAGTTGAAACAAAATGTCTATAAGGAAGAAAGGCAGTCAATTTCACAGAGTTCTGAAGAAGGTTCCAAGCAGAAGGAGTAGCAAACATGAAGGCTTTTTTACCTAATTCTGTTCGGACACGGGGGACCAACAACTGTATCGACGTAGTGTAGTATTAGTGTAGGACGTCCTTTAAACATAATCCATGATGGCCTTGAGTACTTGTTAAAAAGATACTCAAACAGGTAGAAGCTAGTCCAAGAAGTGCCTTATAGATGACACATAGCCAATGAGTGTACCTCCTTGCATAAAGAGAGAGCCATTTAACTTTATAATAAATTCAATTCAATTTCAATTAAATTTTTTTTTATAAAGCGCCAAATCAATACAACAGTTATCTCACAGCGCTTTTCATAAAAGAGCAGGTCTAGACCGTACTCTATGATGCTATTTACAGAAGCCCAACAGTTCCCACCAAGAGCAAGCACTAGGCGACAGAGGCAAGGAAAAACTTCCTTTTAAGAGGCAGAAACCTCGAGCAGAACCATGGCTCAGGGTGGGCGGCCATCTGCCTCCACCAGTTGGGGGTGAAGGAGAGAGAGAGAGAGAGAGAGAGAGAGAGAGAGAGAGGGGAGGGAGGCAGCCTACACAATAATCACACAGAGGTACAGACAGTAAAGGTAATGTTGCTATAGACTAAATGAAAAATGGTACAGATATTTACAGTAGTGTTAATTATAATAATCGTAATGTTAATGATTATAATAACAATAATAACAATAGGACTAGTAACAATAGTTGTAGCAGACGGTGTCGAGCAGGAACACAGGGACAGCAGGTGACCACAGATCCAGACTCCACAGCTCCAGAGCCAGAAACACCTGCAGGAAGTGATAGGAGGAGAGAGGAGAGGGACGAGAAAGCACAAGACTACCGGAAAGGGGAGAAGTTGAGTTAGTAACATGGATTAATGGTATGTGGTTGCTTAGAGAGGGAGAGAAAGTAGAGGAGAGAGGACCTCAGTGCATCATGGGAAATCCCCCGGCGGTCTAGGCCTATAGCAGCATAACTAAGGGATGGTTCAGGACTCACCTGAGCCAGCCCTAACTATAAGCTTTATCAAAGAGGAAAGTCTTAAGCCTAGTCTTAAATGTGGAGATGGTGTCTGCCTCCTGAACTCAAACTGGAACCTGGTTCCACAGGAGAGGAGCTTGATAGCTGAACGCTCTGGCTCCTAGTCTACTTTTGGAGACTCTAGGAACCACAAGTAACCCTGCATTCTGGGAGCGCAGTGCTCTGGTGGGGTAGTAAGGTACTATGAGCTCTTTAAGACAAGATGGTGCCTGACCATTAAGAGCTTTGTAGGTAAGAAGAATGATTTTAAATTCTTTTCTGGATTTTACTGGAAGCCAATGCAGAGAAGCTAAAACAGGAGAAATGTGATCTCTTTTCCTGGTTCCTGTCAGAACACGTGCTGCAGCATTCTGGATCAGCTGAAGAGTCTTAATGGACTTTTTCAAGCAGCCTGATAATAAGGAATTGCAGTAATCCAGCCTAGAAGTAACAAATGCATGAACTAGTTTTTCTGCATCATTTTTAGACAGGATGTTCCTGATTTTCGCAATATTACGTAGGTGAAAAAAGGCGGTCCTTGAAATTTGCTTAATGTGAGACTTAAACGACATGTCCTGATCAAAGGTAACTCCAAGATTCCTCACAGTGGTGCTGGAGGCCAGGGCGATGCCATCCAGGGAAACTATATCTTTAGATAATGCGTCACGGAGGTGCTTGGGCCCCAGAACAATAACTTCAGTTTTATCTGAGTTTAACATTAGAAAATTACAGGTCATCCATTAATATCCTGAAAGCACATTTGAAGTTTAGCTAACTGATTAGTTTCATCTTGCTTGATCGATAGATATAACTGAGTATCATCTGCATAACAATGAAAGTTTATGGAATATTTCCTGATAATATTGCCTAAAGGAAGCATATATAATGTGAACAGGATTGGTCAGAGGACAGATCCTTGAGGAACTCCTTGACTAACTTTGGCGTGCATGGAGGACTCATCATTAACATGTACAAACTGAAATCGATCTGATAAATAGGACTTAAACCAGTCTCTGCAATAGGATCTGATGGTCAATGGTATCAAATGCAGCACTAAGATCTAGTAAAACCAGTACAGAGACAAGTCCTTTGTCTGATGCAATTAGGAGGTCATCAGTAATTTTCACCAGTGCTGTCTCTGTGCTATGATGAGCTCTAAATCCTGACTGAAAATCCTCAAATAAACTATTGCTCTGTAGAAAGTCACACAGCTGTCTGGCAGCTGCTTTCTCCAGGATCTTAGAGAGAAATGGAAGGTTAGATATAGGTCTATAGTTGGCTAAAACATCCGGATCAAGTTTGGGCTTTTTCAGAAGAGGTTTAATTACAGCTAATTTAAAGTACTGTGGTACATAGCCTGTTGATAAAGATAGATTGATCATATCTAGTATAGAAGTGCTGACTAAGTGTAAAACCTCTTTAAGCAGCCTAGTCGGGATGGGGTCTAAGAGGCAGGTTGATGGTTTAGATGAAAAAATTATTGAAGTTAATTGGTAAAGATTGAGGGAAGCAAAGCAGTCTAAACATATATCTGGTTCTACAGCTGTTTCTAATGTTCCTGAGTTTAGAGATAAGTCGGTGCC